CGGGTAACAAACACAACCAGAGTGATCTGACGTGGTCACTCTGCTTGTTTCTTTTAAGGGGAGGAGGGTTGGTCGGTCTCTCTGTTCGATTAATTGAAAAAACGCTCGGAGAAGAAAGGGAGTGTGCACACACAGGCATGTAGATCCATCGTGATTGAAGGCGTAGAAAAAAGGAGCATAGCACACCGCCGGGACATGGGGAGGAGGAGTCGTTGAAACGTTCGATCGGTCGGTGTGTATATCCATCCGCGGTCGATGGATATTACCACGGAGGCAGCCATGCCGGGATAATTGGGACGGCGGGAAAATTAAAGGGAGCCATCACCGCGACTCTTGACTCTTCGGAGCGAGCGGAACGAGGCGGAATAATCTGCCTTGTCTTTAAGAGATTAGGTCCTTAAGGGACCTTACTGTCTTCCCCCCCTCCCTCCCTCTCTCTCTCTCTCTTTCTCACTCATTCGGTTGCACCCTTCCGCTCCTCCCAATCCCGAAACACCTTTTCGTACACCTTCTCACAGTCGAAAACCTACCGCGAACGATCTCCTGCGGCCTCGATCAACCACCGGATTCAACGTCAAACGAGAGCAAACGTCGAGGTTCTCCTCCCTTCGAGGCGGAATGGAACAAGACCAAGTAAATTATCGTGGAGCGAGATGCTTGGCCCACAAGCACCGGGGCCGTTTCTCGGAAGTCCAATTAAAAGTACTCTAATACAATGAGAGGCCAACTAACGCGCGGCCTCCGGACGAAATAATTTTTGTGGAATCCTGCGTTTTGCCGTTTTACGTCCTTCCTCTGTTAGTTTCTCGTTGATTAAGCTTGATGAAAAGAAAGAAGAAAAAAAGAAAAATGATTGTAAGAGGATTTGTGAAAAGTGCTCCATTCTTAAAATTTGAGAGATTTTTGTCACTTGTCGCGTGCAATCACTTGGGAACGCACTGTAATACTATCGACGGTTTGTTGTTTGATTAAAATTAACGTTAACGTTGAAATATCTAGAAAATTACGAAATGGTCTCGTGATATAAAATTGAGGGCAATGGTAGTGAAATATGAAGGCTTTTATGAAAAAATAGTGTTCCAAATGGAATTTTTGTGATTATAAATTAAGAGAAAATTTAGACATCTGAAGTACTGAAAAGAGATATAATATATAGAGATATAATATAAATAATTTAATGAAAATTATGATAATAGAACAACAAATAATTAAAGATAAATTACTTTAAAACAACACGAATTAACAAACTCAAATAAATTCCTTTAACAACGCAATTGACACCTTTTTAACAGTTCTGTTTCAACGCTCTCTCAGGACTCTCACGACTCTTTTATTAAAAAAAAGAAAAGCGCTCCCATGCCTACGTTGGATTTCTCGCATAACTAAAATCAACTACAGATCAATTGTAATAACCGATACTACGTTAAAATAAACAGCCATTATCCAATTTTAGAATGAACTTGAATGAACGACAATCTGACAGTATCAATGATAAATTCAAATCAAAATTACGTGTCTCCGCTATAACATACAAGCCACACCGTACAGGTGTGCAAATGAAAATACAAGAGAATTTCCGTAAAATTTCCGCGGTCTCGTGGGAGCCACCTCGTTTCAAGTATCTCGTCCAAGTAGACACGTCATTGGCACAAAAACGCGACGGATGTGTCGCCGCATGTTTCCACGGCCACGTAATCATTGGCGAGGTGAAACACGAAGCAAGGAGAGTTCACCTCGTCCGGGGAGTTTTTCTCCTTCTTAACGGCACCGTGCGTACTCCGTAATTTATGCTAAATTAATGCAAAGGGCTATCTATATCGCATACACGTCGTATTCCTTCCTCGTTCGGCCACGAGGTCGCGAGAGTATTTCTCTCACGGCGACAGCCAAAAAGCACACGAGGCGAAACCATAATTTCGCCGGCCGTGCTATTAACATTATTCGTTCGCGGAGACGGCGGTCATTGCGGAGGAATAAGATCTACATCGATAAGGATTCCTCGGCTTATATGCTTTCTCGGGGTTAATATTCATGAGGGCCCCTACCACCTCCGTATGGAGCTTAATCTTTGCCCGATCGATGATAAACCGGAGAAGGAGAGCCTTTTTTTTCTTTCGCTCGACCAGACCAAGGGAATATACATACTTGGTATGTCGTAACTGACAATGACTCACCGAGGACGAGCTTGTTAAAACGTCTCTTCTCGCGTACATACGTGTGTGTCACCGGTTAGTATTAATCCGTCTGGAGAACAATTCTCTTGACGGATCGCAGCGAGAGAGACGTTTCGTCGAATTCTATTTTGCGGAAAATCTCCTAGGCGCTTGTGATAATGGCGGATCTATGATAACGACGATGTGCGACAACTAATCGCCAGCTCGCGAGAATTTTTCGCAATACTTCCGGCGATTTACTCATTGTCAGCTAGATACTTAATCGTTCGCCGAGAATCGCCATCAATTTTCAGTCTCTTAAATTTCTCTCCTTCGAATTCTTTCGAAAAGCGAGATCTTTTTTCTTCTCGATTAACTCTCTTTCGTCTACGCACCGCGTACAGACTATTTTACAGTAACTGTAATATTGTATCGAAACAGTCTTAACACTCGCAGGAACCAAAAAACAGGAAAAAATAAGAAAATCAGAGATTCTCCCAATTTTAACCTTCAAGTCCAAATTTTCAATGAAGAAAAAAAAAAGAAAGCTACATTACTTTCTAACGACTCGGTCAGAAGAAACGTGTCCATTCAACACAATTTTAACAAAACCCACAAAACCAAAAACTTAGAAACTCGGAACTAGAAAAAATAACAAAAAAAAAATCAGAAAATCAGAAACTCTTCCAATTCTAACCTACAAGCCTTTCTCAGAGATCTCTTATCCTAAAAAAAAACCATGTTACTTTTTAACGACTCAGTCAGAAGAAACTAACTTGTTTATTCAAAACACTTTTAATACTCAAATCAAAAATTCAGAAACTTGGAACCAAAAAACAGAAAAAAATCAGAAAATCACAGAAATCCCCCAATTTTAACCTTCAAGTCTAAATTTCCTTTTCAATGAAGAAAAAAAGAAAAAACTACACTACTTTCTAACGACTAAGTCAGAAGAAACCAACTTGTTCATTCAAAACATTTTCAACTAAAAACTCAGAAACTCGGAACCAGGAAAAATAACAAAAAAAAAAAATCAGAAACTCTCCCAATTCTAACCTACAAGCCCAAATTCCCTTCTCAGAGAAGATCTCTTATTCTAAAAGAAAAAAAAAAACCACGTTACTTCCTAACGACTCAGTCAGAAGAAACTGACTTGTTCCATTCGGAAATTAACGCGATCAAACGAATAACCTGGCACCCCGTTTCACTGCGGCTGGGTGGTATGTCCCCGATGTCGGTGGAAGGCGCAGGATCATAAATCAAAACCGCCATTGACCCAGTTGCGTGGCAATAGGTGTTCCGTCTACCTGTCGCGAAACGCCACCGGCTTCGCATCGACGTGTTCCGCCTAATCGCTTTATTTCCTCGTCTCGGGGCTCTCCCTCCCTCGTGCGGCCCCTTTCGTTAATCGGGAATATGGATGACTAATATGAGAGCCGCGTGGCGAACGCGAGCGAGACACGTCTCTCTCTCTCTTTTTCTTTCTCTTTCTCTCTCTCTCTCTCTCTCTCTCTCGGGAGTTTCGCATCTCGACGTCGCCGAAAGTCTTCTCCGTAAGTCTATAAATGTAACGAGATGAAGGAGGCGGCCGCAGTCTGCCTCGTGGAGCGTACGGTGCACACGATCGATGCAGTGCTCCGAAATCCCGAGCATTTTTACAGCCAGACGCCGAAAAACGAGTAGCAAGGGAAGACCAAGGTTCGACGCCGCCTATACGGCGCGAATTCGCGTCCCCGTGAATCTCTGTTCTACCTGAATCTATCTCGAAATGAAAATCGAATAAAGGGTTCGTCGATAGTATCTTTTGTTCGTCGTGGACATCTCGAAGGACACGCTAAGAGGCAAGATTGGAAGGCATGCAAAATTTGAAAATTTTCATTTGAATCCCCTATAATGACTTAAAGCTGCGAACAAGTTTGCGCGTTTTTTTTTTTTTTTTATTTTCATAGGTGCAATCGAGATAGAAATTTGCGTCGCTTAATCAACTGAAATTAAATTACTCAAACTCACGGTGAATTCGATGAATTTAAAATGGAATGTAACTAAATGATTTTGAGTATTTTATGTATTATATTATTTATTATAATATTTATATTATATTCATATATATTGTATTTATAATTTTATTATATATTTATATTATTTATTTATTTATTATAGTATTTATATATTATTTTGTATATTTTTTTCACGAACGTCTGCAGTAGTCTCCAATAATAATTCAATTTTTCATTCAACGAGTCGCCCGTTCAAAATTAGGTGAAAACAAAAAAAGAAAAAGAATTTAAGACAGACTGAGACTTAAATATTTGTAAAAAAAAAAAAAAAAATAAGTGAGAACAACAGATGCAACCAAATACACCAAAAGAAAGCTATTCGAGGCCGCCTACGCGAGACACAGACAGATTGTCCCTGTATCCCTGAATCTGTACCTGAATTCTCAAAAGAGAAATCGAACCGGTGCGTCAACATCTTTTATTCATACGTTCGAGGAAACGGTTGGGAAAAGTTTGACAAATTTTCAGAAAATATGGGCAATTTGCTTGGAGATGAGGGAACGAAGTGAATTTTCTTCTTGTGTCGCACGAGTTGTGTCGACGATTTGATGGTGAATTTGGATGTAGGTGGAAGAGTAAATATAGAGTGGTAGGAGAAACGAAGTAAAGATTGGATTGTAGAGAACGTCTTCTCGAGTGAAGACTCGTCCGAAGACAGTGAGTGACATGATTAAAAGAGACTGTATACTTGTCTTCGCAGATAGATACACTTAACGCTTCAGGTTACCTTAAGTTAACAATTTCCTGGCGAACAGATCTAACAGATCTTGCAATTTCTTATGTTTTACGTATGTATAGAGAGTTCACGTGATATTTTTCAGTGTTGAATGAATATAATCTCTCTTAATTTAATTACTTCGAATGTTCATTGTTCTAATATAATATCTCTGCTCGATAACGTAATATTAGAAACGTTACAATAATCAGAGTTCAACCTCTTGCGCTGGAATTTCTCCCAAATTGCAACATTTTTTCAATTTTAATATTAATATTAATTTTAAATTTAATAAATTTAATATTTTAATATTGATATTAAGTTTTTAATATTATTCAATTTAATAAATAAGTATACTTAAATATAACCCAGGCAAAACAAACAAATAAGTTTATTAATTCGCAATAATTTCTATCCGACAAGTTCAAAAGAAAAAGAAAGCGACGAATACGGTTCGGTCACTCGTTATGGTCCGCGAACCAGTTGCCAGCGCAGGGGGTTAAAGATGCTAGATTTCGAAGCGAAACTCACGTGAACACGATCCGGGTTTCTGCCCCGGGGGTAAAAGTCAACGTTGCAAGGTAAACGAATTAAAAATCGCGAGCTCCGAAAGGAATTAGAATGGCTTATCTGCCCACTGGCGAATTTCTTCCACAAGTAAAACTGCAGTCAAGTTTGGTCTTGGCGGAAGGGCCCGCATTTGAATTCCTCGATAAAAACGCAGTCACGAAGGCTGGATTCGTGGAAAGGCGTGGATAGGCAAATGCTTTATTATCCGATGAAAAATTTAATTCGACGACCGCTTCCCCCCCCTCCCGCCTCCCACTGAAGTCAAAGAGACAATCGCCGGATCTGATCTAAGCGGTCATAAATCCGGTGCATTCTCATGCTCTGTGGCGAACGCCAATGTAATATCGCCTTCCTCGTCTAAATTTCGAAATTATCGATCGCCGAAATCTATGAACCCCGTGTTCGTTCCTCCGAGCCTCGACGTTCACGCAACCAACGTTAAAAGCGCCGCTGCGTCCGCCGTTGCTCACTGTGCATAGTAATGAAAAAGAAAGAGACGTCTACATTAGCCATCGGCACGACAGATTTTCGCCTGGAGATAAGGGAAATTTACGGACCAACTCTCTTTCTCTCACTCTCTCGCTCTCTTTCTCCATCGTTACACGCACACACCGTTATTGATCTTTAACGGAAACGAAATGCCACCACACAGAGTTGTCGGCTAAAACGCTCGGCTGTTTTTCTTTTTCCTTTTTTTTTTTTTTTT